TCCTCCCTAGTCATTGTCCAACTCTGACGCATAACAAGTGATTACAAAGACCATGGCCTGTATCAGACTCACCTTAGTCTCCAGAGAGACACCATTGTTCTTCAGTACTTTGGAGAGGTCCCTAACAGCAGACTTTCCCATTGCAGTATGTCTTTTAATTTCCTAGAATTTACAACATGGAGTTCATAATACTAAGAATCATAGCCATGTTGATATAGAATATTAGCAAGCACAGTGACTTATAAAGCTCTTGCTCACTCCAGGCCTCTCTCATTTTTCCTCATATTCCTTTGGCCAAAGCATGTCATATGGCCATCCCAATATCAGTAAGTGGGGAATTATGCACTCATCCAGTAAGGGGATACTTTTAAGTTGCATGGAGGAATGTATAATCCTTTTATAGAGTTAGAGGTAGAAAATACATAACTGAGAATATGAATAATAACAATAAAACCTGTTATAAATCTAATAATCACAAATTCAAATAAAACAGAAGTATAGAAGATAGTGAAGCGAAAGTTCCTTTACTTTCAGTATCTGTTCTGTGCCTTTTTAGCCTAATTTTTGTGAACATAATTACATACATGCATATTTATTTCTGTTCGTAAGTTTAAATAATATGCATAAAGTTCTTTCTAAAAAATAATAGTTTGTATTTTTATTTAATATCTTTCATGTCAGGAAATACAAAGCTGCCTCATTCTTTGTACTCAAAACTCTCAAACTCACTGTCATCAAGTTAGAAACTACTCATAACTGACCCTCCACTGGGTTTGCAGAGGCTTTAAATTGTACAGGAAGAGATTATCCATGTTTTTCCCACAGAGCAGCTGATGCATTTGAATTGCCTACATTTGAGTTGACAAAGAAACTCCTTAACCATTAGGTCCCTTATCCAGAGCTCCGTTCATTCTTTCTGACATTTGCTTTATATTCCTTTGAGTTGTTGTGTACCATTGAGTGAGAACTCATAGCTTGCTCCTCCAGGGAAGTTTCAGGGCTCTGAATTTCAGGAGATTAACCATCCTCTCATGGAGTGGCTGGTAGATTCAAACCACATGCCTTTGGGATTGCATCACAGCTTCCTACCATTTGTTAAACTTGTCTCCATGTTTGTTGACACTTGGTTGGGCTTTTAAATTACTGTAAATCATACTGTAGTGGACATCACCATGTGTAGACCCCATTGCCCTTGTTTAAGCATTATGTCATAGCTAGAATGAGCTTTAGACAGCTGTGAACTCCTAGCAGGTGGTCTGTAATTCCTGCCCATTTCTCTTGGTGACCTCCATTTCAATTCCCCTCAGGTCCAAAAGGTGTGATTAATGACTGGCGCCGTTTCAAGCAGTTGGAAACAGAGCAAAGGGAAGAGCAATGCCGGGAGATGGAAAGGCTGATAAAGAAGTTGTCAATGACTTGTCGGTCCCATCTGGATGAAGAAGAGGAGCAACAGAAGCAGAAGGACCTCCAGGAAAAGATCAGCGGGAAGGTAAATTAGTAGCCCCCAGGATTTTCTCAGAAGCTGCATGACTGAGACCTGGGGTGGTCAATTCAAGAGGCAAAAGATGTTGCTTTAGCCTCTCAGAAGCTGTGCAGTTCAGGAAAGAATATAGTCATGACTTTTGAAAAGCTTCTGCTTTTTTGAGCCTGGTTTATCATTGATTAAGAGATGTCAGTATTCCTACTTCACAGAGCTGGGTTTATTAAGTGTCTGTGGCAGTGCCTAGCACATTACAAGTGCTTAGTAAATACTAGTTTCCTGTCCTTTATTAAAGATGAAACTTGAGCCAGAAATGTAATAAAACTCTTTGAGAGTGATGCTATTAACCCCATATTACAGATGAGGAAACTGGTAATTAGGGAAGTGACCTGTCAGGGTCACATAAATACTTAATAGTGTAGCTGAGGTTTTAACTTAGACTTTCTGATTGATCCATTTCACCTGAAACTTGTGCATGAGAATTTATTCTAAAGGAGGCAGTTCATTAAAGCAAAGTCGTACTCTAAAGATTAGTAACTAAGCTCTTGACCCCTCTTTTTGACCTTCTCTGCATTAAGCCAACCCAAATCCACTGCCATTGAGTTGAATCCAAATCATACTGACTACAGAACTGAGTTGTTGTTTTTGTTGAGTACCATAAAGTTGGAACTGACCCTCCAGTGGGTTTTCAGAGGTAGTTCATTGCATGGGAAGAGACTGCCCATCCTCCTCCCCTGGAGCAGCTGTGCCTTAGGGATTGCTGTGCAGTAACTGCCAAGGTTCGTTTCCAGGATTAAATGTTCCAGCCAGACTGCCAATCTCTCGCCCACGGGATAGCTGATAGACTGAAACTTCTGCTCATTTGGTCAGCAGCTGAATGCTTAACCTCAGTGTCTTTGTCTGTCCATCATTCAAAGGACCCTCTTAATTTCCTCATCCACTCTGACCATGGATGACTATCCAGGAGAGCCCAAGGTACTATGGCTCAAAACTCCTGTTGACAGAATATACCAATTAGGAGCCGGGGACAGACCCAAGGATTAAGTGAAGAGTTATTAGCCTTGATCTGGAGTTTGATTTCAGTGTACAAGTTCACAAAAGGACTTGACTAGGTCAGAGTAGAGCCACTTGGTGAGCAGCAGTAGGATGGAGATCTGTGAGAGTGGAAGAAAATTTAGATGATGGTATGAGTTATACTAGCAACATTTTTCTGTTTTAGTCTCCTAGTCTCGCACCCCTTGAGTCTGGCTTTCTGCTTCAGAGGTGGAGATTGAAGGAGAGGTTTTTTTTATATTTAGGTTACATGCAGGGCAGTGCACCTGCTGCTAACTGCTGCTTGCTTCCACTGAGGTGAAAGGCAGATTGAAACAGCACATGATATGCGTTCATCTTGAAAAGATTCTGTCCTTGTCAGCTGAAGTATTATCTTCAGTAGGATTGAACTGGAAATGGCTTGAATACCAGAAGGAAGGAGGAAGGGTTTTCTTAAAATAGGACACATCATCGATAAATCCACTAGAACTTTTGGAAATATGAAATACTTAAGATACAATAATGATATGTTGCAAAAGCAGATTACAACTTAATTGATACACCCATGACACTCACTGTAAAAGCAAAAACTATGCATGTGATGATTTGGGGTAAAATAAGAAATGTTTAGCTTATATATGACTCTGTCTTGTGTTTGTGTATAGATTGATTATAAGCCAGCATTTAGGTTTTCCTATATTCTCTGGTATTTTCAATAGTCAGACAGTAGATAAAATACACAACTACAAAAGGAAAATAGCTTGTGAAATTATTTTATTTGATAGTTTGTTTAGATTAAGAAGCAATATAATGTAGTCAATAAAAAGCTTAGAATTAGAAAAAACTGGTTAACTCCTGATCATGTCTATTACCATAGGAACTTATACAAATAACAAGCCCTAGAACGTCATTTGTAAAATAAGGGTAATGAAAGTTACTTCCTAATTAGAGTATAAGAATTCAGTGTCTAAAACTCTTTAACATGATACCTCATATATGGTGATTAAATAGTATGTCTTAAGCTCTTATGATTTTCCTTCTTTTCCACTCACTTACTGATCCTTATGAAGATGACGCTGAAGGAGTTTGCCATGATGAGTGAGGACCAAGATGATGAAGAGTTTCTAGAGCAGTATCGGAAGCAGAGAATGGAAGAGATGCGGCAGCAACTTCACAAAGGGCCCCAGTTCAAGCAGGTCTTTGAGATCCTCACTGGAGAAGAGTTTTTAGACATGATTGATAAAGAACAGAAAAACACCCTCATCATGGTCCATATTTATGAGGATGGCATCCTGGGGACGGAAGCCATGAACGGGTGCATGATCTGCCTTGCTGCAGAGTACCCAGCTGTCAAATTCTGCCGAGTTAAGAGCTCGGTTATTGGGGCCAGCAGTCGGTTCACCAGAAATGCCCTCCCTGCCTTGCTGATCTATAAGGGGGGTGAATTGATTGGTAACTTTGTTCGTGTCACAGACCAGCTGGGGGAAGATTTCTTTGCTGTGGACCTTGAAGCTTTTTTACAGGAATTTGGATTACTCCCAGAAAAGGAAGTCTTGGTGCTGACATCTGTGCGCAGCTCTGCCACCTGTCACAGTGAGGATAGTGATCTGGAAATAGACTGAAGTAATAGCCTAACTGCATACATCTCTCATTGTTTGGGTTGGAAAATTCATGTCTGGGTGTTTATTTTGGTGGTTCTATCTTCTGGCTTTTTGGATGTTCTTTGTAGTCTGTTTTATTCTGTGTAAAGTCACGAAATTCTTAGATTAAATCAGAATGCTGAATCACCTTGTGGCTAGCAATAACTTAAAATTGTACAAACAGGAAGCTGGGCTTTTGAACTGTTTACTTAAGATTTTAGAGCATAACATTTCTGTTATTGTTTCCAGTCAGTATTTACATAGCATTCTTAAGACGATGTCCTGTAAATTGTCTTCAGATGATCTCAGAGGTCTCGGCCGGGTCTGAGAGGATGGTTCTAGGGTTAATGTGTTATTTGCAATGTAAATAGTATGTTTCCTTAATCAAATGACTGCAGATTATATTCACTTGTAATCAGATCCATAGCCCTAGAAGGAGTAAATTTCCCTTCTAAACCCTGTTCATGGATTCTTGATGGCGTATTGGTGAATCTGCTTAGCTGCTAACAGAAAGGTCAGCAGATTGAATCCACCAACCACTCCATGGGTGAAATATGTAGCATTCTACTTCTGGAAAGATTCAAAGCCTTGGATGGGGCACTTCTGCTCTGTCCAATAGGGTTGCTGTGAGTTGGAATCAACTCGAATGGCAATGGATTTGGCAGACTCCGTTCTCTATAGGAGTCTTGTTGAAAATCTCTGGATCATGAATGTTTGCCTCAAGCAAAGGGATGACTTCTGTTGCTGGAGTCAAAACCTGCAAAAAAAAAGGAAAAAAAGAGCTGAGGTAGAACTGCAAAGAAGTCCTTTTTTAAAATTATTATGTGTGTATGTGTGTGTGTGTGTGTGTGTGTGTGCCATCAAATTGGAACTGACTGGTACAGGAGGAGTGCAAGGTCCTTTTAAAGAGTGATTTTTCAGTAAGATACTCCTGGTTGGACCTCTTGTTCGTTTGTTTTTTTACTTCTGTGTTCCATTTCTTTAATGATACTGTGTTTTCTTAATAACATGGTAACTTTTATTTAATACAGATTTATTTTCTTTTAGTATTTTGGAATAGTAACTCATGTTCAGTAGAGGCAAATTTACCAAAATATAAAAACAAGAAAATTATTATAATCTTTAACCCCACCATTTAGAGTTAAAAAATACTATTAATATTTTGGTATGTTTCCTTCCAAATTCTTTTCTGTGTATATGTAGAATGTTTATTTTTATGGAGACAATGGGACCATTCTGAGCATACCGTCTTAAAGTATGTTCAGCTAATACTTCAGACTTTTTTCATATTATTAAACACTTTTCTACAGCATTCTTTCTAGTAGCTCTTGATATTACATTATATAGATGTACTGTATAGTTCGCTTGGTGGTTGTCTCTGAAAAGAAAAGCAGTAAGGATGTTTTTATTACAGAAGTAATAGATGTTCATTATAAAAAAATGTAATAAAAATTGAGCTACAAGGAGAAAAAGTTTAAAATTACATTAACCTAAGCTAATCCCAATTGTCATTTATACAGTTATTTTTTTCCCTCTGAATATATAATAATGATTGTCATTTGAGTATATTTCTCTCCCCCCCCCTTTTAAAGCATAATGAATGGGGAAAATATAATCTGGAAGTAAATTTCAGCTTTAAAATTAAGTTGTAATTTTTATGACTCCAGAAACTGATTGTAGTAAAATTCTGCAAATGGATTTTGAAAGTATCTTTTGTAGTTAGCCAGCAAAAAGAAAATGCATAGTTTTCTGATTTTAAAAGTATTGTAGAAGTGTGGAAAATTCAGACAATTATTTAAAGTGGTGACAACTTGATGGGTATTCTAGTTGTGATGCAATAGTTAAATACTTGATTCTTAGATGAAAGGCTGGCAGTTCAAACCCATCCAGAAGCACCTCAAAAGACAAGTCTAGCTATGTTTCTGATAGTCACAGCCTTGAAATCTCCATGGACTAATTCTACTCTGCATATAGGATTGCATTGACTTGAAATCATACCTCAGCAGCAACTAACCATGTGTTGGTTTGGTTTTTTTTTTCCCAGTCTTTTTAATAACATTGAGAGCTTGGTGAACTTGTTTTATCTAATCTGAGATCATAAACACTTTGTCATGCTGTTAAAATTCTAAATAAATTTGCAATGGATTAATAATATTTCATCATTTGACTAGGCTATGATTTATTTAGCCAGTCTCTTAACATTATTTTGTTGTTCTTGGGTGCTAAGAGCAATAGATCTGAACCTTATTCTATTCTGCACCATCCTCAGCATCTCTGTCATGTTTAAACCCACTGTGATAGTCACTGTGTCAAAGTATAAGTTTGAGGACTAAGGTGCACCTGATTTAAGACATGGCCTTTCAGTCACTTGCTATGCATCTGAGAGCTGAACAGTAAATACAGATGACAGAAGAAGAATTGATGCCTTTGAGCTCTAGTGTTGGAGAACAGTACAGAATATCTCATGGACTGCCAAAAGAACAGATATGTCTTGGAGGAGGTGCAGGCAGAGTGCTCCTTGGAGACAAAGGTGATAAAGCTTTGTCTCACATACTTTGGGCATGTTGCTAGCAGAGGCTTTTCCTTGGAGAGGGATGGCATGCTTGAAAAGGTGGACAGTCAGTGAAAGAAGATCCTCAGCCATGTGGATTGACAGAATAACTGCAGCAATGTGCTTGAGTGTGTCAGAGATTTTGAGGATGACTCAGGAAAGGACAGGGTTCAGATTCATTGTTCATTGGGTCGCTATGATTGGATTCTTGATTCAACAACACCTAGGAACAACAGTCTTCAATTGACATCCTTGCTCTTTAGAATTTTGAAGAGGTCTTTGACCTCTTAATTTAATTTCCTGAGTCAAAAAGCACATCTTAAAAAAATTTTACAAAAAACAACATCTTTTGGTTTCCTGACTGAGCTACATGGAGTGTTTATTGTGGGTCCAACTAAAATGAAATGGTTGACAGCTTCAGTCTTTTCCTCATCTGTTATGTTGCCTATTGGTCCAGTGGTGAGGATTTCAGTTTTTATGAATTTGAGACGTAACACGTCAGGGATTGAAAGAAAGTTAAAAGGAATGGTATAAAGAAAGTCTAGAATAGAATGATTGAGAAATAGTAATTTTAAGCAAATAAATAGTTATACAAAGCACTAATTAAAGTGACATTTTAATTCAGTATTCTGTACATCCTTAGCAAGATACAAAGTACAAAAAGAACGGCAAAAAAAAAAATCTTGAAAACTTTGAGTAAAAGCATCAAAAATTAAGAAAACACTATGTACTGATACTAAAGTTTTGTAAATTTAAGGATACTGGGGATTTGATTGACACTGTGTGAGAAGGAAGAATGGACAAACACCAGAAAGAAAGAATTCTGTCTTTATGGTGGAAGTAGGAGTATGAACCAATGACTTTTTGTTTGGGTTTTTTTCCTTTAAAAAAAAATAGCTGTTCATAGTGGCACTCCAGTATAAATGGCTACCAGGTGTCAATGCCACATATCATTCTTCGCTAAAAAAGATACAGAGCTTTTTGGGGGAAATGACCAACTCCAAGTTATACAAAGGGAAAGTACCATGTAATCCTATTTCAGGCTAGAAAGAAAAGAACTCAGAAAGGCCAGGCCTGAACAACTTAAGAAGTGAAAAGAATAATGGCATTGCTATTATTGTTAGGGGTTGTTGAGTCTACTACAATTCAGAGTGATACTATGAAAGATCAGATTCTTGCCCTATTCTGCTTCCAGCTCCATCCTCACAATGTATGTTGTTCTCAAACTCACTGTTGTCACTGTGACAGGCATTTCTTTCAGATCTTTTTCTTTGACCCTCTACTTTTCCAAGCACGATGGTTTTTTGAGAAAGATTGGCTACCATTGAGAAGAATGAGAATTCCAGAACACTTAATTATGCTCATGTGAAACGTGCACATAGACCAAGAAGTTGCCATCCAAATAGAACAAAGGAACACTGCATAGTTGAAAATCAGGGAAGTGTGCATCAGGGTTGTAACCTTTTTCCATAACTATTCAACCTGAATGCTGAGGAAAGCATTAAAGATGTTGAACTATATGAAGAAGAGAATGTGGCAACATGATTGGAGGAAGACTCAACAACCTGTGTTATGCAAATGACACAGTCTTCCTTGCAGAAAGCAAAGAAGATTAGGCACTCTTACTACAATCCACTTTTAATCCCATTACTCTGTGAATTTATTTCTTGGTTTGAGAATGAACATGGTTATGTTTCTTAGTCCCTTTGAGCTTTGGTCTCTCACATGATGCTAAGCATAGCAGATATTCCAGAAGATCTCCACAAGAGTTCAATGGGCTAGTTTTTAGCACTCTCTTGACACATAGTAAACAGCCCATAAATGTCATCTGTTTACTATTTGTTTCATACAAACTCCTGTTGTTGTTTTGTGCCTCTGAGTTGCTTGAAAATCATAAGGACCCTATATACAAGAGCCCTAAACCCTGCTCTTTCAGGACATGATCAATGAGGTGGATGCAGATGGAATGGGACCATTGACTTCCCAGAGTTTCTGACCATGATGGCCAGAAAGATGAAGGACACAGCGAGGAGATCTGACAGGCCTTCTGAGTCTTTGACAAGGACGGGAACAGCTACATCAGTGCCACTGAGCTGTATCACGTCATGACAAACCTGAGAGAGAAGCTGACCAAGGAGGAGGTGGACAAGACGATCCGAGAGGCCGACATCAATGGGGACAGTCAGGTCAACTATGAAGAGTTTGTACAGATGATGACCACAAGTGAAGTCCGGGCAGCTGGTGATTCCCATCCTCCTGATCTCTTTCTCGAGCCGTGCCCTCTCTCTCCACCACTTCCCCCCACCCCCATCCCCTGGTTCTAGCAAACACCAATGGATTGACTGAGAATCTGATAAAGCAACAAAAGATTTGTAAAAACAAACAAACAAACAAAAAACGGTTAACAGGCTATAAAAGGATACACTGTTATTACTTACACAATCCTGCAATAACAGTAAAAGAAGTTTTTTTGGTAGACATGCAAGCTGAACAGGTATGGGAAGCTGAACTGAAGTATGCCTATGAGAATATTTGGCATAGGATATTTCTATACACAGGTTTATGTGTGCTGAAAATGTATCC